AAAGGGTGTATGGGTCTTTTACTTGATGGGGGATATTTTAGACAATTTTTCATCTTTATTTATTTTATTTTTTAATTGAGTCCATTTGACCTATAAACATTGAGAATGGGTCATTTTTTCAACTACTTTGTTTGACGGGTCTTTTAACAAAGAGTCCCTTGTATATATGCGACTCCATTTTTTTTTTTTTTTGGTTCGTGGTGTGTGTGAAAGTGAGTTATTTTGCTGCCCCATTCTTGAGTGAAAAATGACTACCTTCTTGCTGGGTGCTTCCGCATTTTCTGCTTTTTTGTTCTCTCTCGATTTTTCATGCTCCTTTGCCTTTGTGGCTACTATTGAGGCTGCAAAATATCACTTCATACCTTGCCCTTTGTGGGCATATACCAAGCAACCGGGATTGTAGGTTGGTTTTGGGTGGTGGAATTTCGTGGTGTCGATTCGGTATTCGTATGAAATATTGAGCCCGAAAATCTTGGAGTCAATTTTATCCCAACAAATGTAATAGAACCTTTTTCTTCCAACAGAAAATCAAAAGTTTCCTCGTCATTTATTTACTATTTATTTTTATATAGCTTCAATTTAGTGAAGATTTATGCAATAGTTGGTTGGGGGCAAAAATGAATGGTTGCTTGGAGTTCATTTTCACGTTTAATTGGTTAGATAATGACATAATACTATCGTGATTTCTAATGCTTGTAACAATTTGAGCGCCAATCTACATGATAGGTTATTGAACATGGATCGTAGTTGGATTATGTTGCGTAATAGATTGGATAAGAGATATCAGGATGGGTTGAGGAATTTTCTAGCTTTCGCACATGATAATATTCATGATGGTACATCCACTATTCTATGTCCTTGCCAAGATTACCGTAATACTACATTTCTGGACATCAGCGCAGTTAAGCATCACCTGTTTAGATATGGATTTGATATATCTTATCAAAGGTGGAGTTTTCATGGTGACTCATCATCTATGGTCTACACTTCAGGATTGGAGAATAGCAATGCTGAAGTTGTTGGAAATGACTTCGAGGATGAGGATGATATGATTGAAATATTGAATGATTTAGGCGGTGCAAATATTGGTGCAGCCAATTCATCGGTTGAACCAGAAGTAGAACAAATTGGCAGTCAAGGTTTTCAAAGAAATGAAAATGAAGTTAATTTTGAAAACATGTTCAACCAAGCATTTGAACGGTTATATTTGAACGGTTCTAAATACTCATGCACATCAAAGTGCTTAATGGATTGAGTAACAATTATTTTGATATGCTATTCCAGTATCAAATAACATACCGAATTCGCACTATGATTTGAAGAAGATGCTCGAGGAGTTGAGGATGGTATATGAATCAATTCATGCATGTAAGCATGATTGCATCCCGTTTTGGAAGGAAAATGAAGACCTTGAAACATGTTCGAAGTGCCATGAGTCTAGATATCGAAGTAGCAAAGATAAGTGGAAAAAAATTCCCTAAAAAGTTCTTCGATACTTTCCTACGTATCCTAGACTCGAGATTATATATAGTTTGTGGAGATGAAATGGCATAAAACTGAATTGGTTGTAGAAGAAGGTATATTGAGACACCCCTGCAGATGGAGAGGCTTGTCAAGCATTTGATGCCATCTACCTTGATTTTGCCCAAGAAATGAGAAATGTCCATTTGAGGCTTGCAAGTGATGGGTTTAATCCATTTGGCAATATGTCTAACGCATATAATATGTGGCTAGTTATACTTATTCCATGGAAGGTACCTCCTTGGAAGATGATGAAAACACCATACATGATGATTTATTAATTTCGGGTCCAAAAGTACCTGGAAAAGAAATTGATGTGTATCTACAACCTTTGATTGATGATTTAAAGTAGTTGTGAAGTGTTCAAGCATATGATGTGTCAACGAAAGAAATGTTTACTTTACGAATAGCAATAATGTGGACCATTAATGATTTTCCAGCTCTTACTATGCTATCAGGTTGGAGCACAAAGGGTATATAGCATGTCCAATATGCAATGAATATTCATTATCATTGAGATTGCGAAGCAAGATAGTTTATACTAGACATAGGCAATTTTTACCTATTAATTATCCATAGTGTAGATGCAAAAACTAAGATGGAAAAAATGAGTTGCATTAGTCTTTGCATGAATTTACAGGAGAAGACATCATTTGTCAATTGAATATGTTCGGTGATGTTATATTTGGTAAGAATCCCTTAGTATGCAGAAAATGTAGAAGAAGTGTCGAAGACTTGAATTGGGTGAAATGTTCCATTTTGTTTGAGTTGGAGTATTGGTGTAAAATGAAATTGAGACATAACTTAGTTGTCATGCATATTGAATTTTTTTTTTTTTGTGAGGCTTTGGTTGGTTATTTGATGAAAATGGAGGAAAAGTCGAAGGACACATGGAAAGCTCGTATGAACTTTACCAACCAAAGCCTCACATGCGAAATACACTTTAACTATAGAGGAATGCAAGGATTTTTGTGGATTTTTAAAGTCAGCCAAGCTTCTTGATGAGTATGTTGCAAATATTTCACGATGTGTTAATGTCAATGATGACCACAACGTGGCTTAAAAAGACATGATTGTCATATGCTTTTACAATGAATAGTACCTTTTGGGATAAGGAAGTTCTTAAAGAAGGATGCTTCTAATGCATTAGTTGAACTTTGTGTTGACCTTAGAAAATGAGTCAACAGATGTCGGGCCCACTCTCGCCACGTCAAACCAATTTTGGTGCGTTTCTACCTGAGAAACGGTGAGAAATGTGGCAAATTTGGACGTGGGAAGTGGTTCGCGGCAAGAGACAAAGATGTTCGAGCTCCGACGGGTGAAACAAAAGATGATCACGCTATCAATGATCACCGAACAAGGATCAAACTTAATAACCAAAGAGATCACTAGAATATGTGGAAGGATAGAAAACAAGAACGTATTGTAAATTATAGAATCATCTACTTATGTAATTATTCTACCAAATGTATGATGAAAAATAGAAATACAAATGTGTGCAAGAGTTTCTATCAACATTTCTTCTTGATTCCATACTTCGGAGTTCAAGACATGAGAAAGTAATCATTCCAACTCTAATTTTTCCCAGCCCCTTCTAAGTTACAAAGATTATCTATTTATATTGCCCTGATCGACGTGGTGTCCGTTGGATCAAAACTACGTGGCATCATCTCCTTAGTTGAGGCTTCATATCAGTGTCTCTTCATATAATTAATACATTGATAAGGGGTTAGCCTCCCTACATAGTAAGCTGATAACCTGACATCTTCTATTGCAATTGTTGCATCAATCACTTCTAAAAGACACTCAAATATTTTCAAGAGACAACATCGACCTATGAGTTTCGGATAAACTGAGAGCTTCAGAGCTGGTCTTCTGAATGAGAAGCTTCAGCTCATTTCTATGTCTCCTTAGGTAGTGCCTCAGCTCAACTGTGGTCCTCCACTAATTGAGGTAGTGCCTTGGTATCTGCGTAGTTTTCTTACATCTCGAACATTCGGGTCTTTGTTGACTTTTCTGTTGACTTTCTATCCACGTATAATGCCAAGTGGCACATTAACTTAGACCCTTGGTGATGAGGCGTAACAATAGTCCCTCAAGTTTAGGCATGTTTATTTATATAATGTATGGACTTTAGAAGTAGATAAAATATCATCAGTGGGTGATTTACATCATGCCGCAATCTCCAATGTGCATGACTTGTGCATACCTCCTAATAGTGCTATTTTGAATTCGTATACTTGGGGACATCTCACTTTCTGGAACAGTGTTAAAGAATAGTTAGCAGAGCAGAGGAATTCTGAAGTGCCCTGCAAGGCCGAACTGCTTTTACCTAAAGTACACTTGCAAGGTTGAAGCTTCGTCTGAACTGGACGAAGAGGGTTGTGTCTGACCCTCCTGGCCTCAGCATTGATAATTATGAGGAGCTTGACTTTAGCACGTTTGAGGAACACGAGGCATCCTTAGTTATTGCACCCAAATGATTTGCCGTCGTGGTACGTTTCCAAGAAAAGATAGTTGAAGCGGTTCAACTTCCTATGCACGTAATCATTGCCGTTTTTAATACGCAATGATGTCTGTCTCCCATGTGCTTCACGAACTTCTGTGCACGATAGCGCATAGAGCAGATGCTCTGATCTGGACCGTAGAAGATGAAGCGACAGACGTGTTGAGAGACTCAGATTTAATCCTCAAATGAATGGTTAGATAGGCCGAATTATCATCCAGTAACTTGTGAGAAAAATCATTTTGATTTTTACAAATCTCAGCATTAACATTCTTCGAACTTTAAATTCTCTCTAAGTTTTTTATTCTTTAAGATTCTTCCAATTTCTTTTCTTTGTGCCCAAGTTCTTTTTCTTCCTTTTTGCTTTTCTCAGTATCTTTACAATTTTTCCGGTGTTTCGTCATTACCACCATTTAACAAAACTCGTAAGTATTTTTGAATTCTTAACTTAAAAATTTGTAATCCATGGCATCTTCTGCTTCTGCTGGGGCCAATGTAGATTTGACTGAACTAGCTGGTGAGATGGGAGTATAAATTATTAACACCGCCAACCTAGTTAGGACAGTTCAGGTAGGGCAAAGTGCACTACCTTCCGGGGGGTAGGAGAGATACTAATATAGAGTGGGGGGGCAACCAAAATCCCATCTTTTGTAGATTCGACCTACTCGGCTAATCTTAGGGAAAAATATTGGATCCCTTACGGCATAGAGCTCCTTTTTCCTTTCTCCTAATGAGCAAGCCTGCTATCCAAGGCAGGGTTGCATTACCATCAACGAGTTTCTGTTGAGGCTGGGTTTCGCCTGGCTTTACACCTATTTTCTGGGCTGTCCTTAGGTTGTACGGGTTGGCCCCCACCCAGCTCATTCCTAATGCCTAGGCCTAATTAGTGGGGCATACTTCCTATGGAAGGAGACTTCCATGGGTGAGGACATACCCCTATATATTTTCAAACAATTTTTCAATCTCAGGTCTTGGGTAAAGGGGATTTGAGGGGTAGGTATTCTTTGTGCCCATGGGGGTCACATTCCTCCTCCATCCTCGGTCTACCCTCCATCAAGGGATGGAAGGAGACGTGGTTCAAGATCAAGGAGAAGTGGCGAGAGTGGGAGGGTGATACCATCCCTTACGTGAAAGTCCCAACCACCTACTTCGAAGCTAGCAAGTGTTAGTTTTTTCCTTTTGCTTTCATTGGCTAACTGGATCTGATTCTTAATGTCTCTTTGTTGCTTTATAGGGTCAGTTGAGTACTTCAAACTGTAAGAAAGTGACATGGAAACTCTCTCAGATATCTACCAGTGATCATCCTCATCGCGAGACTTCGAGAGTCTAATAATTTCGAGGAGGGTTTTTGAAGATTTATGTCTGATGGCTAAAAGAGGTATTACATCGTCCCTTTTATATTTAGCTTCCAGTTTACTTAGCATTGTCCATTTGTTCATGTCTGACCCTATTGTTTGCCTTTGTAGAAAAACTGATGGTAGCTTCAATAGTTGCAGCCTCTGGGGGGCAGAAGAGGTCATCTATCAAGTCCACCAGTGACTTAACAGCTTTCGAGGTTTCCTCAAGAAAAAGGATCGTCGTCAGGACTAGGAGTGAGGAGCCAGCTCCTGATAGTCTTTCGTTACTTCCTCTAGAGGTTCAAACTGCCACTGCGACTTTTCACAAGTACTAGACGGAGATATGGTAAGACTTTGTGGAGACCAGCGATGTAGTGGACGTCTTCTCCACGATGGTGAGCCAGTTGGGGAGGGCCTTTGGTATGGGCCATAGAGGCTGAAGCTCTCTTTAAAAACCTTTAACAAAAAAATAAAGAGTTTGTAAATAAAGCCTCTCAGGTTGAGGAGGCTGCAAACATGGCCAAAGCTGAGGCGGAGGCTTTGAAGAAGATTCACAGAGGAGTCTGTGAAGCTCGTTTCTACCTTAAAGGAGATTTAAATGTTGCAAAAGGAGGTCTACCTATCTCAGAGTGAAGTGACCTCACTTACGAAGCGAGTGGAGACATCTGATGCCAATCAGCATTTGGCAGCGGAAGCCTTGGAGAAGGCTAACAAAGAAAATTGCTGCTTGAAAGGGCAGGTGGGAGACTTGAATTCTAAAGTGGCAGCTTTAACTGAAGAGGTGGAGACTGCCAGTCAGAAAGCTTAGACTGTGGCAGTGATGCGGAGAAGCATTTATTTGCTAACTTCCGCTTGACAGAGGTATAAAAGAGTTTCGAGTAGTACTGGTATCCTGTATGCTTATATACATATATATTTTATGTAAGTGGCTTCGGCCCACCAAATATAAATACTTTCATTAAATGAAGTTATTTTCTTCATTCTCTTCTGTTTTTCACTTTTACTTACTGCTTCTGCTAATTATGTATTGACGTATTTGTCACTGTGGTTCGAACCTCTAATACTTTATTGATGATGTTTAAACTTAAAGCAACAAGTAACAGACTAAAAACTATATCAGACTCATGATAATAATCAAACTGAAGTTCTTCGATCACTTAAGACTTATAGTAACAAATTCATGCACCATGAACTTCATCAATTAAAACTAAACTTGCAATTTTGTCTAAGTGTTAGGAGGTCGTGTACATCGCATTTCAATGGCTGAAATCAAACTTATAACTTAGCATAAGTGTTAGGAGGTCGTGTACCACAAAAAATTTCAGAACTTAAGCACATCGAACTTCAATGGATGAAATCAAACTTATTACTTAGCATAAGTGTTAGGAGGTCTTATATCTCAACAAATTTCAGAACTTAAGCATATCGAACTTCAATAGCTGAAATCAAACTTATAAATTAGCACAAGTATTAGGAGGTCGTGTACCTTAACAAATTTCAGAACTTAAGTACATCGCATTTCATTGCTGGAATCAAACTTATAATTTAGCATAAGTGTTAGGAGATCGTGTAACTCAACAAATTTCAGAACTCAAGCACATCAAACTTCAATGGATGAAATTAAACTTAGCATAAGTG